TTTGCAACAAACTTTGTAACGTCTTCCTTTGGTCCAGATAATGTTGCCGAATTACCTTCAATTATGGAAAGATTAAATTGAAAAGATGCTTTTAAATAAACAGAAAATCAACCAATTACAGCTGTTGTGACAAGCAACTTCAATGCCTTCCGGTAGCATGTCTTTGACTTCTTCGTAGCTCAGTCCAACAGCAGCCATCGATCCGCAAATAACTTTTGTTTCGAAACTGACGACACCGCGTGCCATCGCCGCCAGAATCATTTGTTCAGCAGTTATGGTACCATCAGCATAGGCACATCCTGCCAAATAAATAAATAAAAAAAAATGTAACGATAGAACGTGCAATTCGTCCACACTTCCGTTGTAATTTCACATGCAATGTACGAACCGAGTTCGCCTACAGAGTGTCCGATGCAGTAATCGAATGGTATCTGCAGTGCTCTCAGTATGTTTACAATTGCAATTTGAATTGAAGCAATTCCAACAAATGAGTTTATGATGTTATCAAATGTAGTGTTATCAGTGGAAGTGACGATTGATATTAAATCCAAACCGAATGGTTTCAATATTTCGTGACATTGGTAAATGGTTTCACGAAACAAGTCAATTTGCATCATTGATGTGGCCATTCCAGTCCATTGTGATCCCATACCAGAAAACATCCATACAATTGGCCGTTTAGTTGCATCAAAACGGTCGATCATACGGCTCTTACACATAGCTGTATTATTATTGTTGGCGTCATTCTTTTCCAAAATGCTATATCCACGATATAGAAATCCAGCCTGTTCATACTTTTGAATGTTATGTAAAAGCGATATGAATTCAGCATCGAGTGGCTTTGTCTCAAGATTATCAAAGAGTTTTTCCACTCCTTCTTTAGTACGCGCTGCCCATAATACTAATCGTGAACATGAATCACTTGGTATGCCACAATTTACCTTTTCTTTTTCAAATCCTCCAAAAAGTACATGAGCATTTGCACCACCAAAACCAAACGAATTTGTTGCCACTAAATTGCCCGGAAGTGGTGTTGGTTCCGAGCATACTTTCAAGCGACCTTCGACAAGGGCAGGAATATTTTTCTTTGGATTAACAAAATTCAAATTTGGAGGCACTATTCCAGATTCCAGAGCTAAAATAACTTTTGATATGGAGCAAAGTCCCGAGGTAGCTTCACTGTGACCCATATTTGATTTAACAGAACCAATCAGCAATGGCTCTTTGCGGTTTTTACAAAAGACTTTATCAATAGTTCCACATTCTTCAGGATCACCCACCTTCGTTCCTTTATAAATGGAAATAAAACAATATATCTCATTCGTAATTGCTCAAATAGATAAATATCAAATCACAATATTCACCAGTTCCATGGGCTTCTACATACGACACCGTAAACGGATCAAGGTTGAGGTTTTTATAAAAATTGGTGATCAACTCGTATTGCATTTCACCCGACGGATAAAGAATACCTTCGTTCTTAAAACTTTGTTTGTAAGTAAAAAGATAATTAGTGAAGGATCAAGTTTTTATGAACGCTTTTCGCTTACCCATCACAATTGGTGTCGGAATAGATGACTTTCGCATAAATACGTTTTGCATTACCAGCTTTTGTCAAAAATATTGAACAAATTGCTTCCGAACGTACATAACCAACTCCGTCTTCGTCAAATGGTCGACAAGAGCCATCTTTTGAAATCACACCCAAACGATAGAAACTGATCGTGGTGTACGGATGTAATAAAAGATTACTACCACAAACCAACGCATTATCACATTGACCAGTTCGCATTGCAGTGAAAGCTTGATCAAGTGCATACATTGAACTGCTGCATGCGGTATCGACGGTGAATGAAGGTCCTTTTAAATTTAAGCAATAAGATAACCTGAAAATGAAATTTTATATGCAACTACATTTTTGAATAAATGCAAAACATCAATTATACCTATTGGCAACCATAGCTCGAGAACAACTGAATTTAATGAAAAACAAAAGTGTTATTACACATATAAGGACGAGAATACACATTTATGTTCTGTTCGCGTACTTACCCGGCCAAACCAGTGCCACCATCTTTACTTGATATTGTCTCATAGACAATGCTTTTTTCTGCTTCTGAAAAGCAAACTCCAACAAAAACACCAGTTTTTGTATCGCGTAATGCTTGCGGATGAATACCAGCATCAAGTATTGCTTCGTATGCAGTTTCAATTAATTTACGAGCTTGTGGATCTATATGCTGGGCTTGCTTACTATGAATGCCGAAGAAAGCGGCGTCAAATTTATTAATGTTTTTCAAGACACCTTTTCGTTTCGGCACTTCTTGGCTCACATCATGATTCCAACGCATTTCCTCATCAGTTATCATATCAATCTAAATTGAATAGCACGTTAAAGAATATTGTTATTCATTGTTCACCACTTGTCTTGAGTGAATTTATTTTGTTTTAACTTTACAATATCAAAATTATTTTTCATTTAACGCGTTACTCTTTTTGATGATTGTAATAAAACTTCCGATATAACAATTTGGTGTTTTTAAGGTTGTATTTGAATCAAAAACGAACCTTGTTATACAAATGATTGCGAAACTCTTCAACATTCTCACAATTGGGATAACGTCCTGAAATACCACTGATAACAATTTCCTCTTCTGGACAAGAGGCAAATACGCGAGAAGATGCGATGCTGTTTGGCACATAGTTTTTTTCAGTTAAAACTTGTCCACTTTTCGATGTTGCCGATAAATCCATTTTCGACGACATATTTTCTTGCACTTATTAATTATTTCAACTTGGTGATTTTGCACTCTCTGATTGACAAAAAAAATGACTGCAATGATCACTAGAACTGTTAGACTTGAACGAGAAATTATTTCAGTAGCAAAATCCTGATACGATACTAGTTCGATATGGACTAGCTGCCTTTCACGAATAACATTGGTCTATTTATACCGAAATAAACAGCAAGCGATACATCAATATTCTATGGATATTACAAAACAGTTGAACTTATGTAAAAATTGCAAAAGTTCATTTTTATTTCATTTTGTTCATAAACAGCAATATCGTAAAATATTACAGTGTCAAAGACTAATTGATAATAATGACGTGTTTCGATTTGAATTATTTCGAATTGTTCGAATTGACGATTATTTCAATTAATTTATCATTTCTTTGTCAAGGTTCAGCTTATAAGCGAATTTATATTCAAATTATAAATGCAATTCCGTTAAGGAAATCAGTAGAAAAAAAATATGAACACAGATATCGATATTGTATTTTATAGCTTGAAAACTATTCGGTAAAACCACAAAAGAGTGGAACGGGTTAAACATACCCGCAAATGAGAGATATGCCGGTTAACTTATTTAAAAATAAGTGGCTCACGTGGGTGTAAGTTTCGATTTTTGAAATAAGTGGTATTTGGACCGATTTTACAAGTATTTGAATCAAGACTTGATTTGAATCCATATTCTGTGCATAGATAGTTTCTCGATATTTTACTATGAGCATACCAATCGTTGATGGAAAATATAACACTATTTTAATGAGCTTGTACCTAGGGGGAGACACGGGCTTTAGTATTGCTAATTTTTCTTAGTTTTTTTAGTAAATTGCATATAACGTGTACATTGACAGGACCTAATAACTCCTAATTTTTCTTATTTAGTTTTTTTAGTTTTCTAGTTTGTGTCTACCCCCTGGGCTTGTACACATTATATTCATTTCTCTATACTAATTTAATGAAACTATTTAAACATTCGATGTCAAATGGACAAATTAACTTAAACTACGCGATAAGAATAATTATTCCAACGTCTGAAAATTATTTTGAATATAAAATCGTTACTTTAAATTCAATTGGAAGAATTTAAAATTTGTTGATATGCCTAGTTCAGTATTTTATACAAAAGTGTGACATTCATATCCAGATATTAATGTCCGAAAAAAGAAAAATATTTGTTGTGTCAAAAAAAAAAAACGTTTTTCTTGGTCCACATTTTAAACTACACATCTGACATTATATTGAGATAATTTCAGTGAACTAAATGAGCTCAGAGAGCTAACGTCAGGCACTGAAATGGAGTGAAAGCAATAGAAGTGATTGTTTTGGTTATAAAAATACTTACATTTACAATTAATATAAGAATCACTTAAGTAAAATTCTATTGTTTTTACTTCATTTCAGCGCCCGACGTTAGCTCCCTGAGCTGATTCATCTGGCTGAAAATCTCTCAATATAATGTCTGGTATTCCTATTCTTTTTCTCATATGTTAGGTATAATGTATTACTCATAATAGTTATATTCAAGCTATAACTATTGAATAATTTATTAATGGCAAATAAACTCTTCCATTTTGTAGTTACTTTCGTATTTCTCTTGAATTTCTAGATTCATTCCCGAAAATATTAAGATAGACGTTATTACGAAATTGTAACTAAAGAAGCGAATTTTACATTTAAAAATTCAAAAATTTATTTAACTACATAATTATCGTCCAGATTATCATTATTAATATTAACAAAAATGGTCATACACTGATTTGAACTCAGTGCTTGGAACTGGTTTGTTTCGAATCGAACTTTCGATTAGTTTTGGAATAGGAAAGAAACAGCAAGTACAAAATTGTATTTTCAAAAAATGCGGTCCAATTACTTACACGCTTTTTGTTTATTTTTCAAAGAGAATTTTTATTTTAAATTTTTATTAAAACAGAGCAAAAACTAGACTTATTTTAAATCAAAACATTTTATTTGTCAATATCCCATTATAATCCATTATTTGTCAAATGTTCTTCCAATAACCTAGTAATAACTAGTAATAATTAAAAAAATTGAATTGTATCAAAGTAACATTTAACTTCTGTTTTACCAATCTTAATCATAAATGTCAACCAAAAATAGTTTCACTGGAACAATTCCAAAATTTAACTAACTGCTCAACTGCTTAAAATCGAAATGATTATGAAAGTTTAAGATTAGGATAAAATACACATTTCACAATTGATTGCATTATTTTTACAAATTCCAGGATCTAATCAAGTACATTCTCATGAGAACGTGCACATCAACGATGCAGACATATATCATTAATGATTTCATACAGCTGCACATTATCCAAAATTGTTAAATGGTTGCCTTCGATCGTATTGATGAAAATCTGGCCGTTTGTGTACTGTGTGAGTAGATAATCATTCTCAATGTCAACAACTAATTTGACTGTTGGACGAATCAATGTGATATTGGATTTGATTTTTTCACCGACGTATTCCTCATTTTCACTAAATATCATTCGAATGCGATTCACTAAACCATATCCTATATTCTTCAGATATTCATTAGAATATTTGTGTTCTTTCAGCAGGCCCAGGAACTTATCCATTCTACCATCAAATGTTTTCTCTTTGTGCATAATCTTTTGAATTTCATCTAAACTGATTTCAGGTAGAATTTCGTACACCAATTGTACCTGCAGAAATTTTTCAACATTTTCATGGTCTTGATTCATATTTGGAATCCGCGCTTTAACGAATCGTTTGAATAGTGACACCGAACCATCTGCGACGATTACATCACCAGTTAATCCACTTTGTTCAAGTATTTTTGCTAATGACAGTGCAACTAATCCACCAAACGAATGACCGATAAGGATGAATCTCTTCTTGCCATTGAATAAATTCAGCACATCCTTTATTAAGAGAAATGTCAATTAAATCAAAATCAATTTGAATATCTTCTTACTCACCTTTGAAATCAACGCAATCAGATTTGAAAATGATTCCTCTTTGCAGTGTGCATGTAATTGGAGTGCATAAATAGGGACTTTGATGTTCTTGCACATTGACTGTAGTATTGGACTGATAACACATTCAATCCCAGGAATAAATAGCGCCAAAGCATCACTCTGTATTGCTTCCATTTCATTCAATGGCAATATGACTTTATCGGCTGTCTTTTCATTTCCTAAGCTGCTTAACAACATATTTCTTTGTACCTGGGCTTTATTACTCGAACTGTTTTTAATGAGGTCGCCTTTTTTACCCAAATTTGTGAGCTCTTGAAGCTTGGAAAATGTTAGACTTCGTAAATCTTGTGCAGTTAAATTAAATTCGAATTCACGTTCCATCACTTGTTTGATTTCAACTGCCATTAAACTGTCCATACCTTTGAAATGAATAATTTTAAAATTGTAGACTTAGATTGAATTAATCAACAGCATCTTACCGAGCTCAGCCAATGTCGAATTCTTTGATACGGATTTAACATCACGAATTCCCATAATGTGAAGTATACTTTGAATCAAGTTCATCTTGCTGACAGCATGCTTCTGAGCCACGACCATGCTTGAAACAACAGGTTCCTTCGATGATAAGAGATCATCCATCACAGTCAGACAGGATGCAATGCGCTGTTGTACAGTTCCGGCAATTTCAAGATCGATTTTCTCCTCGGCCATTTGAGCAACGAGACCAACTTCACCAACAGCTCCCTGAAATTTCAGATGCATTCATTCATTTGGTATTCATGATTTTTAAACATTTGCCTTTAATTACCCATTGAATCGCCTTTCCAGGTAAATGGTCTCTAACACGTTTCTCGATAATTCGTTCCATGATCGAATTGGCCATACCATAATTCGATTGGCCCGCATTCCCGCGACCGCACAACGCACTCGAAAATAAAACAAAGTATTGTAGTTGTTGACACAAAACTCGTGATAATTCATCCAGATATCGTGTGGCAAACACCTTTGGACCGAACGACTCAAAGAATGTGTCGCAACTTTGATTTTCCAAAATGCTATCGCGCAAAAGCACCGCCAAATTGAAAATGCCACCAACGGCACCGTGTGCGAGTGATTCAACAATGAGACTTTTACATCCTTGATGTGTCGTTATATCAGCTGTGTTAATTATGACTTTACAACCGTATGACTCCCATGTCCTGAAATAGATCAAGCAATTTCATTAGATTCGTATTCAATTTTGTTGTATAATGTGACATACTTAATTCGATATGCTTGATATCCATTCTTTACACCTGTACGAGAGCTGAGCACTAGTTTCTTGCAACCTCTTAAGATTAACCAATCGGCCAGCTCCAAACCGAAACCGCCCAAACCACCAGCGATGATATAAACCATTTGAGGATCACAGTATGCTCTTGAAAAGATTCTCATCGGACTTGACAATTGCGACCTTTCATCTTCACGAATTTGAATCAAAACTTTGCCCACGTGTTTACCTGTGCTGAGATAACGGAATGCCTTTTCAACTTCATCCACTTTGAACACGGTCGAATGAAGCGGTTGAATTAAGCCACTCTCCACATCTTTTTCAATCATTTTGAATAAAATGTCGCATTCTTTTGGTAAATGGATCAAATTATCGGCAAAAACTGCACGGAATTGGATTTCTTTGGCAAATGTTTCCATGTCCAATTTGCTATTGTTCATAATATCAAATTTGCCAATTTCCAAAAACACTCCTCCCCTGCCCAAACAACGAACCGATGCTGCCAGTTTGTCCTCAGCCAATGAATTCAACACATAATCAACTCCCTTGCCCTTTGTACGAATCATTATCATCTGCTCAAATGAACAATCGCGGGAATTGCCAATATTCTCTTCTGCAAGATTTGTGTAATATAAGCGTTTCTCAATCCGACTTTAAAAGAAAATATCAATTTATTACCTTTAATCTGTGGATACTGATCCATAATGAATTTCTTCTTTTGCTCTGTTGAACAAGTCGTGTACACCTCCATTCCATATGCTAACGCGATTCGAATTGCCGCCAAACCGACCCCACCACTGCCGGCATGAATGAGAATCGACTTTCCACCTGAGATCGGTTTGTAGAAGAAGAATGCATAGTAAATCGTTACATATACTACTGGAATTGTGGCTGCATCTCGCAATGACATCGATGCTGGAACTTTCCAAACTAGACATTTTGGTGATTCTGCAAAATAAATTATAAACATTATATTTTCATAACATAGAAACGTAAATAAAGTTCGTACCAATTTGTGTAGATAGAGATCCGGGAACAGCCATACCCATTACCCTCTCGCCAACAGAATTAATTCCTGAGTATTCGAACCCGATTACGCATTGTTGATCCAATCTATTATAGGTGAACGACTCCAACGGTATACGTCCAGTTGCCATCATTACATCACGGAAATTGATGGCTGAATATTGAATATTCACGAGATTTTTTGATATGTTTGCATCGATCCAGCCAGTCATCCATTCAAAGGACGATAGGTCGCCGATTCGTTTCAAATTGGCATAATAGTGTCCACTCCGTTCTTTTTCTTCGACGTCTTTTTTGAGTGTAAGATGTCGATATGCACCCCATTGACCATTGCGATACACATTGACTGCCAAGTCTAGTTTCATTTGATTGCTGTAAAATGGGCTGTTGAGATCGAATTTTGGTGCTGATTTGTCATCTATCAACACACATCGAACCATATTTCCTCCTGGTTCGCGTCGAATGCAATTAATCAATCCGAGAATTCCCGAATCTTCACTCTTTTGCTCCACCGCAATGGTGAGCCCATTTTTAATGGCTTCTTTGAGCGGTTGAAGCCATTTGAATGCCACATCCTTTGAATCGATGTTAACAACGGTTTTGCTGGCTTCCGGTCTAGTGCGCTGAAGCAATATGAGAGTCTCGTCTGGAATTCTGGTGAGTGAGATCACATTGAAGCCTTCGGGTCGTTTAATTTCGTTCCATCGAATGGCGCTTTCTTCGCGCAAAAGTAAGAACCCATTATCGGCCATACTAGTTTGTGCCTGTGCAATTATCTCATTGTTATTGAGCCATTTTGACCCGATAATTAATTGACAATTGGTTTCGTCCTTAAGTTCTCTGTCTTCCACTTTAACATGATCAATTTCAAGTTTGTCTTTACGCAATAGCGTCAAATCGGCCATCACCAAAGGAATGTTAACGATTGTTTCGTCGAATGCTTGGATAAGTGTCTTTCGTTCCGGTTCATTTGCATCGACTTCAACAATTTTGATTTTATATTGCATCAAATTTTCCAAAATGATTTGCATTGCGATTGAGGCCGCTTCATTGGGTGAGTATTGAATTTTGTCATTATTGAACGGGATGAATTCGTATGACTCCAAAACTTCAGTGCCCGGAGCTTTTCGACGACTGACTGAACTACAAACCAGACCTTCAATTTCGATTCCACCACATGTAACAATGCCAAGCTCCTTGCACATTCTCACCTCCATTACTGGATTTTCGGGATCCAATTGTTCAACGGCTTGCAAATGCTTTTGGGTGTTGATGCGAATCTTTCGGATGCTCGTCGGTAAATAAAGCGATCGTGAGTCGATTGCAAGAATACTGACTTGCAGCATGCAGTCCATGAAGGCTGGCCAATTATTATTCCACTTAATCTTGCCGACAGCTCCATCGCCTCGAATTTCGGTTACAGATTTGAACAGGCCGTCATAATGGTAACCACGCAAACGAAGCTCTTTGTAAAAATCTTTGCTATCCATAACAGTCGAATGATCGGGCTTTATCCATTGCGAGAGATCCTTTATTGGTTCACCATTTTGAGTGGCCTTTACATTGCCACTTATGACTGCTGTCCTATTTTCACTCACTTCAAAGCTTCCCAAAACATTATGTACCACTGTAATAATGAAAGAAATGACTTTGAGAAACATGAAAAAAAAAAATTAAATCCTACCCACCTATATGCAATTTGACATGTTGATTCGGCACAAGCGACGTTGCTCGAAGGAATTTAACATTCTCAAATTCAATATCTGACCAATCAAATGACTGGCCTGTCGTTATTGACACTATGCTTTCTCTAACAAAGGAAAGATATGTTGTTGCGGGTAGTAGGCATCGTCCTAAAATCAAATATCATGTCATTGCAACAGAATAGTAATTCACTTCCAGCGATATGGTATCTACCATCAATTATGTGTCCAGCAATATATGCATTCTCTTCGTCTTCCAAATTAAATAATAATCTTCTTTCACAGGGAACCTGCGTAGATTTTTCATTGTATTCACCGCCTTGCCAATCTTGAATGTGATCCCAAAGTATCATTGGCGATATCATTTGTGTTCCACGCGAAACAGGATAGCTTATGGCTGGATACATATGCTCCAAATGCATTGAAACACCACTCATAAAAAGCCTATGTTAATTACAACAACAATAATATGTATTTTGAATGTGACATTTTGATATCAGATTAATCTAATAGTAGACATCGGGCAATTGCTACGAAAATGGTTGAAACACACTTTCTAGCTTATATTTCCACTATCATCGTATATGTTCGCATTTACGGTTGTAAATATTCTTCAAAACATTTATGTCTATCCTAGTTGACTCGACGATTGTGTGTTTTCTATTTCATGTATAATATAGCGTAAAAATACATCTATCAAATAAATTCAAAAACACTTACACTAGGGGCGTTACCATCTAACTTTTAAGTAGAGGTAGGTATTTCATGCGTTAATGTGTTAATATTACAAATAAGTAAAATAGTATCGCATAAAAAAGCGGCACTTACTTTCCTAGCGAAGATAAAAAGAATTGGTAATTATCCTTATTTGCTCGATGTGTCAGTGGTACATGAACTCCATTGGGCAAACATTTCTTGATAATGGCCTGAAGTAGACCATGTGGTGCAATTTCGATGGTAATGGCGTTTTCCGGCAAATTCTTGGCCGCCTCTTCGAATAGTACTGGCTTCAATAAATTATTGGTATGATATTCGGCTGAGCTGAATTGAGTTTTCTCTTGATCCCACTCACTTTTGGGGACACTCGAACTAATCCATTTATCTGAACGTCGTTTTGGTGCCGAAATAATTGTTTTAAGTTGAGCCAACAATTTTGGTCCCATTTCGGCAATATACTTTGAATGATATGGAATGTTTGAACAAGCTACTTCTCTGGCGAATACACCATCTGCTGTTAGTTTTGCAACAAACTTTGTAACGTCTTCCTTTGGTCCAGATAATGTTGC